TATTTTACCCATCTGTCTAAATTTAGCCTTGGTGATTTTACTAGATTCTTAGGAATGTCAGGACTCGCCCTCCTCCCCAGCCCCCATTTAGCGACCACTTCTCAAAAAACAAACTGGAAGCAGGAGGCAGCTATTCCTGAGGTAAAGATTTCCTAAAGATAAATATTATGGATGTTTGTGGTAAACATTTTCATACCCTTTTTGTATGAGGAAAACAATGATTTACAAGCCATATTGAGTAATTCCACACTATTTATTAAAAAAAAATGATCTAGTCTCAAAGATCTATTTTCCCACAGTCTAATTCCATTAACTTGGATCCATGATGAGTCATAATTATTGACAGACAGCTGTGTGCTAGACCTGATCCTTCTGGAGTGTGGATTACATAAATTGAGGAGTAATAAACATAAGAGGCTGCCTAATATTAACAAATTAGCCCCCTTTACTCTTACTAGACAAGAGGGATTTGTAACTAAAACATCTGTGAAGTCAAGCCCTTTTATCCTTGCATGAAAATAGTGTTCCCACACTCAGTTCTACTTTATAAAAGGATTGCATGACATACACTTGTAAATGTCTTAAACGTGTGGAAGTTCTTAGCTTTGAGGCTATTACAAACCCAGACTTCCAGTGTTTGTACATCACATTACTGTTTGTCACAAAGCAGTGTTTTAGAAACTGGTTCAAGACCTCTGAGGATAACAGGTGACAGATTTGACACTACTAGCTACTTGGATACCCTATAGCCCATTTACCAACTTGTACTAGTTTTTGGCTTCTTGAATAGCCCTATATATAATGCTTGCAAAACATGTATATCTGTGTTTGCATAATTTAATAGTAGTAACTTTCAGCATTTGGAGTTTTTTTGTTTTTTTTTACTCCCAAATAAAATATGCTCTGGTTCATCATTTTTCTGAAGCAAGGGATCAGGACAGCGCTTTGCAATGTCTCAGGGAAAGATCAAAGAGCTACCTGCATGTTGATCACTCTTGGATGTGGTCATTAAAGCCTGGAGCAGCCCTGGTTCTGATATTGACTCTTCATATCACCTAGGCAGGATCTTTTCACCCTTGCCAAGCCTCTTTCCCCATTTATGAAATTAAATGTACAATCCCTGCCAGATTTAGGAAAAACAGAAACTTTGAGACAGAATTTAGTGTTATGACTAAATTCTTCCAGACCACATTCACATCCCTAACAGTCTCACCTGGGTTTCTTTGCTGCTACTGGAGATCTCATTCTTCTCTTCTTTGTAATTGAGACTATTTTCCACTATCACAAATAAAAGCAAACTTAAAAGAATATGTAGCATTTGTCTTTCAAACAATTCAAGTGCAAAAGTAATGCAATAATAAAAGCTTGCCTTAAAAAAAAAAAAAAGTACTTTTTTGGGTTAACAAACAGCAGGCAAGGGAATCCCACTTCTCCTCGGTTTTATTTTAGGGGATGCTAAACATACCCCAGCTCTAGTGCTGCGCAGTTGAGATCTCAAGCTTACTTTCTCATGCACCTGGACTAGAAGACTTGGCTTTACCTAGCATCCAATGTGCTGGGTGGGTATAGGCAACACCACCAGGTGAAATCAGAGCAATCCTTGGAAAAGAGAAAAAGACTGCAACTGATCATCTGTGGACATTTAAACTTGCCAGTTGTCTAGAAATACCCCTTTTTTAACCCAAGACTGAGAGTATACATATGGTCTTAGTCTGAGTGTGCACTTACCTTTGATAAGGTCTAAATGATTAATAGTTGGCACTGATCCAAGTATGAATGTTTCACAACATTCAGTTTTCAAAAGATTTGCTACCTAATATTTGAATACATATGTGGATGAAAGTGAGATAAATGTGTGGTCTAAGCATCAGCTTAAGTTTGTAGCCTTTTTTCCCCCCCAATTTTCTTTTCCAACTTTGAATCCTGTGCTTTACACATGATAACACATTAATAATAAAAAGCCTTAACCCTGACTCCTCAGGGGTTCACAGTGGCACAAAATTTAGGTCTTGCCCTCTAGTAAAGGGATTTAATTAACATTTAAAAGGGAGCAGTGTTTGATGCAGGAAGAGGAAGACAACAGAGGGGACACCTCCTAGATGGCTTTCTACAGCCCCAACCACAGCAGAGCAGCCAGGGGCTCTCAGAGACTGGGAAAAGCTGGTTGTCAGAAGCTACATGAGGTCTTGGTTTTGTTTCACTAATCTGATGTTTTACTCAAAAGACTCTTACACTTGGGAAACAGTGGTCCCTGGAGGCCCCTACCCTTTCCCCTTTGATAACCTGGGCTCGAATTCTCTAAGCCCAAGTAAAAGGTTTTCCATCCCAAGACCAGCATCTACCTAGTAACCACTGCAGGAAGCAGCAGGATTTGGGTAAAACCCAGTCTCAATTTATATATCAAGTGTCCTTATTGAAGACAGTTCTTACCTTTATATAAAGAAACTCCATTAACAGGAACATTTGCTTCTTCAGGTCCTTGTTCTTGATTTAAATCATGAAAGAATATGAACAGTTTCAGTTTCCTTAACTATTTAAGGATGTACTGTAAGTTAGGCAAGCATCCTTGTCCCTGTTAGCAAATGTGGAATCAATCAAGTGGGCCCTCCCCCGCCTTAGGACTGAGGAATTCAGCAGGAAGGAGTCCATAGCTGAGAGAATTATGTAACACGCCCAGCTCTCTTAGCTAGAGGCCCACCATGGTCCTTAGGGGCTGAGAAACTGTCTGAACCCCACAGTTATATTTACAAATAATCTTTTCAATACAGACCTTACAGGGCTACTGCCCGATAAGACTTAGAAAAGAAAGGTATGTGGAACCCTGTCTTAACTACTATCCAAAGAGTTTCTCTTGAGGTTTAATTTTAGATGATAAAGTTTACAGACTTCCTATTTTGGTTTTTCAGTTCTGAAGTTTTAGCAAATACCTGAACCAGGTTTTTTCTGTTATTCTTAAAATTACCCTTGACTTTTAACTTTTGTACCACCCACAAAATATGTATCAACTCATTTTCTTGAGTGCATCTATTCTTTAAAAGCATTTTCCATGCTTGTAGGTATGGTGGAGATTGAACCCCCTATGTCCTGCAGCATAAGCATGTCCACACTATTTAAATAGCTTCCACTCCTGTGAGGTTTCCTTACTGGGAACCAAGTAAGGTATAATAACTAAATCTCCTCATAGAGCAGAAGGGAGCTGGACTTCATTAATGGACCTGGTTTGAGTTCTGGCTCCCAACCAGTAGTGGGGTAACTTAAGGGGAATAGTATACTTTATTGGAAAAGCGTAACTCTTTCAGCAGGTTGCTTTGAGGACTAAAAGGAGAAGTACCATGCAAAGCACACTACAGGTTCTCAATATATATTCCTTTTCTCCTGTCCAAAAAGGTTGAGAGATAAGTTAGCCTTGACTGATGAAAGTGGTTTATTCATCTTTTCCAGAGACACTGCAGATATATTAAGTATGCCTAGTTCAGGATGAGGACACTAGGCTCAGAATCTTTAACTTTCAAATATTAATTTACCAACCTTTTGTCAAGCTTGCATTTAACCTTTAAAGTAAAAACCAAACAAAACAGAGAAGCATAAAACCCTTCCAGTTACAGTTGGTAGGATTATTTGGGGTATTAAAATGAAGACTGTGAGCACAGAGCCTAGGACTTAGGAGGTGCCCACATTTTTATTGACAATCTGTACAGCCATGCAGTCTCTTGGAAAAAGAAAAATAGTCGAAGAACCTACAGTTTATGTGACCTTCATGTATAGTATTGTCAAATGCTAAATTAGAAAACTGACCCTAACTTAAAATCCCTACTTCTGACTAGGGTTCACACTCCCCCGGCACCCCCGGCAGGCAGTAAGTACTGTAACCTAAAAGGGGAGAGAGCCATACCTTCCCCAAAGAAAAGGAAGATGGATTTAGTGTCAGGCTCAATTAGACCCAATTATGAAGGCTCTTCAAAAAGGAACAATGCAGCTTTTGTGATATGCTCAAGCAGAAGGCTTGGACATTGTACAAAGCAATCTTATCCAAGAGAAACCGGGTTCTAGCTTTCTTCCTGGAAAGAGGTGCTTATCCAGGAAAGTTTTATACCACTCTTATCAGCTGTTGCTGGGATCGGTACTTTTTGTTTAAAAAAATTTTTCAGAAACAACTATGAAAGATCTATGTGAACCAGGAATATAAATTACTTCGCTGTTTGAGCAGCATTTATACTCTTCCATCTCCAAAGCTCAACCACAGAAGGTCAGATTATTTAGTTATTGTCTATCAAAGGGAACGCTTTGCTAAAATTGTTGGTTTTCATTTATCTGCCCCTAAATACAGTCTTAAGAACCCTCACCCTCAGCGTTGGAAGTGCTTAAAATGCAAATGTGCAAGAACTCCAGGCCAACCTCCCCATCCCCCAGCAAAGTGCTCAAATACAGCCAGGCCTGGAGGAGAATGTTAAAAAGAGGGTGGAACTGCCCTCCTCCTCTCCTAGGACCCTCACTCACACTGAGAGATTCAGTATGCATGACTGAGCCAGCGAGCAAGGAAGCAGGGACAGCCCTCTTTTAACTTTTCTGAACAATGGCTTCAGTTCCCTTCAGCCTTCACCATTTCACATCCTCCCCACACCCACTCAAAGTGTAAAGAAACCCATCTTTCTTCCCCACTTCCATATCTCGCGACCTGTTTTTTGAACATCACCCCTAGATGTAATTTCCACCCAAAGAAAAATTGGCTACTCTGAGGAAACTGTGACTCTTACAAATCTGGTTTTTAAAAAAGTTTCATTTTGTTCAGTTTCTGTAAATTTCCATTTTGTTGACAGTTGAAAACCAAATTATATAAATCTCCAATCTCACCATATTTCTAAAAACAAAACATTTAGATGTCAGTAGTAAACCTTATACAGATACATTTTTAACCATGAGCTTACTCATAGCACATAGGACACACCGAAGTCTATGTCTTATTTCCTTTTACTTGAAAGCACACAAACAGCACCTCTGACTTTGGCATGTACCCAAACACACTGCCTTCAAAATAATTCACAGATACAAGGGGTTTTTTTTTGTGTGTTTTTTTTTTTCAAAAACATACTTCATATTTCCTCTTTTATTATATAAATATCAGTTTAACCTTTTACTGTAAGAATATAAACGTTTTAAGAGGATCTTTGTTATTATTTATACAAATTCACAAACAGTACAATTAATTGATAAAGGTCTCTGGGTTTCTTTTAACTCCATGGTCTCGAATGTTGCTGTGGAGGATTCTAAAAAAAACAAAAAAATCCAACAAAAATATACATCCTACTGAAAAGCGATCTTTTTTAAAGCCACAAGTCCCAACCCCCACCAAAATAAAGTCATCTACTCCTCCGTTTAGAAACAGAATTTTTAAAACCCATAAACTCCCATTTTATTAACAGAACAGAGATAAGACATGAATTTCAGTCTCCTCCCCTTCACATTATAGCCCCAGGGGCTCTGCAGGCCAACTCTGCTCCTCTGCTTCCAACAGGAAGCCTCACTGTATGACCTTTTTTTGTGAGGAAACTTGGAAGAGGGTGAGGGTAGGGCAGAATTTGCATATATAATAATAATTTTCAAGACAATCTGCATCTCAAACAAACAAAACAGTCCAAACTCTCATTTCTCCCACACATTTGTGCTATAAATTAAGTCAAGATATAGGAACGTCGTTGGGCTCTCAAATCCCAATGGACAAAGAGAAAAATAATTATAGCCAAAATGTGGAAGTGGGACATACTGGATGGATGGGGTGGGGAAGAAGCCAAAACAAAAAAGACACAAACGCAATGGGCATCTTTCCAGTCTAGGCACAAAAATGTTTTAGTCTCAAAATATCTCTCTTGTAGAATTCCAGGGCTTCAGAGAAAAAAGTAAACTAAAACGAGGTAGCCAGACATATATATATATAAAATTTATATATATATAATATATAGAATATATTCAGCAGAAAAAAGGACCATGATTTCAAATCTCTTAAAAAAAGAAAAAAAAGGACAATAAAAAAATGAAATGAGCATGAATAGCAGAGTACTGTAAAAAGAGAAATGATGAGAAGAGACTGGGATTAGCTACAAAGTGGAACAAGGGTGAAAAGGCCGTTGTAGTTGGGTTTGATTTCATACATTTCAACATAAAAACCAGATCACAGTATTCAAATGAAAGCTTAAGTGAAGGCAGACATTTTCTTCAACTCCCCAGGGTCAAAGGACTAGTTACTCCCCACCCCCACCCCCATTTTGAAATGCAACGCAGTGGGGATACAGTAGCTCAATCGGCCCCTCCTTTCCCCAGTAGAGAGAAGTGGATAGGTAAGTAGCTGAGTCCCTCTCTTCATCCTCAGGGAAAAAGAGAGGGGAGTACGGTAGGGGTAGCAGAGGAACCCCCAAAAGCAATGAATGGGCATGTAAGCGGCAGGGATGCTGGAGGAGGGAGGAGAAAATGAGCCTGAGGCTTCGTGTCACTGTCCCATCGCATCCACTGCAATGATCTACGAATAAGTGTGCATGTGGAGTTGAGAGTGCAGGGAGGGTGGTGGTGACAGGATGATGAAGAGGGCGGGACAAGGGGAGTTGATGCTGCCACCCTCACCTGACCTTCTCACTGTCCGTCATCTGCCAGAGTCCCAGGTTGAGTACCTTGAGGCAGGGCAGCTGTGTGATGCGCTCCAGGCCGCGCTTGGTGATTCGGGTACAGCCATACAGGTCTATGCCAGTGAGCTGGCTCAGGTGCTCAGCGATCAGCTCCAGGCCCTTGTCGGTGATGCGCACACACTGCCCTATGTTGAGCGTGCGCAGCCCGTGCATCTGCCGCACCATGCGGTTGATGCCATCATCGCTGATATGGCAGGAGCAGAGAGAGAGAGACTTGAGGCCGTCCAGCCCCTGCGCTATGTAAGCCAGGCTCTGGTCCCCCACCTTGTCACAGAAGGACACATCCAGTCCCGAGAGGCGCAGGCTGCCCATGGCCAGATGCATGATGCCCGTGTCACTGATGTTGTCGCAGGAGCGCAGGTTAAGGCTGCGAAGGCTGCCCATGTGCGACAGGTGCAGGAGGCCTGCGTCGGAGATTCCCCCGCAGAAGCTGAGATTGAGGAGCCTCAAGCCCGTCAGACCCCGGGAGATGTGCTTTAGAGAGAGATCGGTGAGCTTCTGGCAGTCCTGCAGCGTGAGCTGCTCCAGGCCCAGGCAGCCCTCCGCCGCGCTGCGCGTCATGCCGGCCAGGTGCCCGATGCCCACATCCGAGAGGTGGCGGCAGCTGCGAAGATTAAGGCTCTTGAGGCGCTGCAGGCCCCAGGCGATGAGCAGCAGGCCGGTGTTGGTGATGTTGCTGCAGCCCCCCAGCTCCAGCACCTCCAGGCCCTTGAGGTACTGGGCGATGCGGCCCAGGCTGCTGTCGGTGATCTGCTTGCAGAGGCTCAGGTTCAGGGCGCGCAGGGAGCTGATCTCCTGCACAAACGCGTGGCCCAGTCCGTTGTCGGTGAGGTTGTAGCAGCCACTCAGGTTGAGGCTCTCGATGTTGGCCATGCCCTGGATCACGTAGCTGAGGCTGCGGCGGAGGCTCAGGATCTGCACCCGGCGGATGCCCCGGGCCTGCAGGCTGGGGAACAGCGACGGGTTGGCCCGGCGCAGGTGCAGCTTGGCCTCCACCCCCCGCCACACCGACTTGTGGTAGGCGGCGTCCCGCCAGGCCGTGCACACCTGCGCCGCGCGCCCCTTGTCCCGGACGTCCAGGTAGCCGAAGATCATGGCCAGCAGTTCGGGGAACAAGCACGAGATGTGGGTCTCCATCTTCCTCCTCCCCCCTCCGCGGAGCCGGGGGGAGGAGGCGACGAGAGCGGTTCGCCCCGACCGCCGCCGCCGCCTGGGGCCCAACGGACGGCCCCTCCCCGCCTTCCGGCTCCGGCCTCCGCCGCCGCTCCTCCTCCTGGTCCGTCCGTCCTTCCTTCCTTCCTGTCGGCTTCGCCTCCCTTCCCTTCCCTCCCCCCGCCCCGGGCTCCGCTCGGTCCTCACATCCCGGGCGGGGAAGGCGCCCTCACTCACTCCCGAGCCGGCCGGGCCGCCGCGCCGCCGCCTGGGGTCTACCCACGCCGCGCCGGGGCCACGCCGCTCCGCCCGCGCCGCCTCCGCTCCCACGCCCCCTGCCGCATCCTCCGCCTCCTGCCACGGCCACTGCCACTGCCGTCGCCGCCGCCGCGCAGGGCCCGGCGGCTGCGCGCTGGGGCTCCGGGCGCCGGGGAGGCTTCCTGCTGCCTTTGTCTCTCGTCCGCTTTTCAAAGCTCCCAGCCCGGGCCGCCCGCACTCCGCCGCCCAGGCGGGGGGACCAGGAGGCCACTCCGGGCCACCAAGCGCACGTTCCTCCCCCCCGCCGCCCGCGGGCAGTTGGGAGCTGCCGGCCCGGCAAGGAGGACGCGGCGGCCGGGCGGCCGGAGCGCGGCTCGGCGCAGACCCGGGCGAGCAGGCGGGCCGCGCGGTGGTAGCGCCCGGGACGGACCTCGGCGGCACCGCTGGGCGCTGGGCCTCCTCCCCCGCCTCCCCCGCGCGCCGCGCAGTGGTACGGCCGGCGCTGCCGGAACTGTCGGAGCCGTTACCCTGGAAACCGAGTTCTGCCGCTGGTCGCGGCCCGAGTGTTAACCCCGTCGGCACTGCTCGAGAGCGGCTGTCGGCAGAGCCCTTCCCCGCCCTTCTCGTCGCCGCCCCGCGGCCGCTATGGAGCCGGGAGGCCACGCCCCGACCCTGCGCCTTCTCTTTTCTTAGCTGCCGACGTCCGCACGGTCTTGCCCAGAGTTTACCCCCGACAATGCCTGGCCCTACTTTACACCCTCTCCCTTCATTATCCCGGCAGGACATTCCTCCCAGTAGTGCTGCTCAGTATTCAGCACCCCGACTTTTCTTCCTTTTTTTTTTTTTTTTTTTTTTTTTTTTTATACTGTCCCTAATGCCCCTTAACACCTCTCTGTTATCACACTCTCAGTTCTCCCCAATGGGGTAGTTTACGATTCCTTTCTTTCTAGTCTTTGCCCTAAATTATGGAGAAACTCAGCTGTATTTATTCATACCTTAGCTCAACACCGGCCCTCTCCAGTCCTCATTCTAAGCTTATTTACTACCGCTTCCTTGCGCCGCTGTGAGAGACTCCCTTCTGCTTTACACAACAAACTTCCCTGCACTTCTGCTCCCGCTGCTGAGCTGTGAACTGTCGGAGAGCCACCGATGCCCGGGCACATGCTCGGCTGGCTTTGTACTCAGAAGGCAGCAGCCTTGTTTTATGAGCTTTTCTTTCTCATCGGCCTCTTAAACTGTATATAAACCGTATGGCCCAATTATGCTGACAGTCAATATATTTGTATGTGCTAACACAGATTTACTTCTTTATAAACTAGAGCGACTATTGGGCTTGGTTAAGGTGCTCCAGCAAATGTCTGTTGGTTTATAAACTGTGTTTTGTGGAACCAGGACAATGCTCGATTCTAAAATGTGGCTCCTGGGTCTTAAATGCCCACACAGAGGATAGGATTTCAGAGATTCGTGTTAAGTACCCCCAAACCAAGAATTTTCGAATCAGAGAAAATGATCCTCTATATTTTTTTATGAATTTATGGATTCAATATACAAGACAACCCGATTTCGTTATCAAAAAGGAAAATGGTTTATGGATTCTTTGAGGACCTGAACAAAATTTTGAATGTGTTCTGTACTCAGCATATAAGATTTATAACTTTTAAAACATATATATATATATATATACACATACATATTCTTTTTTCTTTCTTTTTTACTGATTTCAGAGAGGAAGAGGGAGGGAAAGACAGATAGAGAAACATCAATGATGAGGGAGAATATTGATCGGCTGCCTCCTGCACGCCCCCCCCCACTGGGAATCGAGCCCGCAACCCGGGCATGTGCCCTTGATCAGAATTGAACCCAGGACCCTTCAGTCTGCAGGCAGACGCTCTATCCACTGAGCCACACCGGCTAGGGCAGATAGATAACTTTTTTAAAAAACATATATTTTACTAATTTTTTACAGAGAGGAAGGGAGAGGGAGAGAGAATTAGAAACGTCAATGAGAGAGAAACATTGATCAGCTGCCTTCTGCACACTCCCCACCAGAGTTGTGTCCACAACCAAGGTACATGCCCTTGACCAGAATCGAACCTGGGACCCTTGAGTCCGCAGGCCGACGCTCTGTCCACTGAGCCAAACTAGCTAGGGCAGATTGATAACTTTGACCACTTCTCTTTTGCCCAAGAAACCAGTACTAGACCAGGCACATACAGAATCACTAATAGGCATAGGACATTTTAGACCCCCACCCACCTCTCTCCCTGAATCAGGAAATGCAGAAGTGAACATTCTCACAAGTTTGCTACCTCACCCACATTACACATGGTGTGAGGCCATAGGTTTTTTTTTTAAATAACTTTTCTGAAACAATAGACTGTAATGTTAGTCATTCAGATTATTCCAGATGTGCTGTGTCATAAGTGTCACAATTCTGGGCTATACCTGGGCAAATACTCTTTTCCTAGAGTGTATCTAGGCTTATTGTCTCAATCACTTCTGCCTTAAACTTTTACCTTGAACTCTACGTGAAAGTCACTTTTGTTGTTGTGTATATGTAGCTATGTTTGTGTTTATGTCAAGGTCTTAATCCAAAACACCTTAATCCTACTGAACACAAAACAAAGTGGTAGACTACCAGGGGGTTCTGGTGGGGCCAGTGACACTGACCTAAAGAGAAGTTTAGCGGTTTTTCCTTCACTAGAACAGCTCTTATTCTCAAGTCTAAAGAGTCATTTAGAGGTCCCTGGAAGCACTTTCAAAAGAAGTTGGCCACCCGGTCCTAGATGTAGAGTTGAACTCTAGAATCGTATTAATACAGAGCCTTTTATTTAAGGCATTCAAGCATATATTACAAGGATTTTCAGCAATATGGTTATTTTCACATTTAATAAATAGGAAAAAACATCAGGAAGCATCTAAGAAAATGAACGTTAGTGAGGAAAAAGAACTGTGGCATCAAATGAGTCCTGTGTTTTTTGGAGACCTGGTGACTTTATTGAGGAAATGACTCTTCTTTCTGGGCCTTAGTCCTGCTGTCGCCTCCACCCTGGGAATATGCATTGTTCCTCGGACTTAGTCCTGCTGTCGCCTCCACCCTGGGAATATGCATTGTTCCTCGGACTTAGTCCTGCTGTCGCCTCCACCCTGGGAATATGCATTGTTCCTAATGCTGGCTGGAGATTAGGAATGTTTTCCTATGCAGTAGCTTCTTGGGGGCTTTGGTTTAGGCTCAGATTTGAGGCACAAAAACAGACGGTATTATGGGCCTGAGACTGATGGTCTGGAAAAGATATACACCAATGTAGAAAGTCCTGGGGATAGCTGTGAATATTTTAAGGACAGGTTGAGATTTTTGTATATGATTCAACAACTTGCAACCAGAATAAAATTCTTCTCTGAATGAGCTACAGACTTCTGTTTAGAAGCAGAAAGGACAGCCCTGTGTAGGAAGCAATCCAAAATTTTACCAAGAATTTCGAAGAAGCTAGATTTTCAGATAGGGTGTGTTTTTCACCTGGTAGAGGCCTGGGAAAATTGAGAGGCTAACCCAAATATCATGATTCCTTAAGGATGTATACTTCCTCATTCAGAGAGGGACAATCTGGCAGAAAAGCTCAAAAGAGATCTGTAACTTTTTAAACTCCTCACTCAAAAATATATATAGTTGCCGAAACCGGTTTGGCTCAGTGGATAGAGCGTCGGCCTGCGGACTGAGAGGTCCCAGGTTCGATTCCGGTCAAGGGCATGTACCTGGGTTGCGGGCATATCCCCAGTAGGAGATGTGCAGGAGGCAGCTGATCAATGTTTCTCTCTCATCGATGTTTCTAACTCTCTATCTCTCTCCCTTCCTCTCTGTAAAAAATCAATAAGATATATTTTAAAAAATTTATATATATAGTTGACCTTTGAATATCTCGGGTTTGAACTGTGTGGATTCTCATATATTCGGATTTTTTTTTCCCAATAAATATACAGTTGGCCTTCGGAATCCCTGGGTTTTGCATCAGAGTATTCAACCAACCACAGATCAAAAACAGTATTTTCAGTCTGCAGTTGGGAATATATGATGTCAACTGTGTGCATTGTTCTATACCAGTGGTCGGCAAACCGCGGCTCTTTGGCCCCTTGAGTGTGGCTCCTCCACAAAATACCACGTGCGGGCGCACACGTACAGTGTGATTGAAACTTCGTGGCCCATGCGCAGAAGTCGATTTTCCGGCCTGGGCGAGTCTATTTTGAAGAAGTGGAGTTAGAAGAAGTGGGGGGTGTCGGTCGGGCGACGGACGGGAGACCAGCACAGGCAGGCCGAGGGATACGCAGCACAGGGGAGGCGTGCATGATTCATGCACGAGTTGAGTGAGCCAGTCAGTCAGCAGTCTCATTGTGCAGTGGTTAGGGCTAGTTGCGTCCACAAATCGCGTGCAGGTGACAAAAGTAAAGGTTATTAAGTTAATTTTAGGGAACGTTGTGGAGTGAAAGAAGATGTAGTGTCGAGGACTGAGAAAGGTATGTTGAGATGGTTTGGACATATAGAGAGGATGGACGAAAGGAGATAGACGAAACAAGTATACAAGACGAGAGTGGATGGGAGAGGTAGAAGGGGTTGACCTCAGCGAACGTACCTCAATCAGATTGAGGACGTTTTTAGCAAAGGCCAGCTTAGGAGTACCCTAATTAAGTTAATAACAATGTACCTACCTATATAGTTTAAGTTTAAAAAATGTGGCTCTCAAAAGAAATTTCAATCGTTGTACTGTTGATATTTGGCTCTGTTGACTAATGAGTTTGCCGACCACTGTTCTATATTATCTTTACTAATATGCTAATTAGACTGGTCATCTTCCAGACATCCTTCCTGATGTCCTTCTGGACAAAGCCACAGTGGCAGGGGCTGCGGCAGAGGTGGTTAGGGGCGATCAGGCTGGCAGGAGAGCAGTTAGGGGGATCAGGCCGACAGGGAAGAGCAGTCAGTGGTGATCAGGCTGGCAGGGGAGAGCAGTTTGGAGGATCAGGCTGGCAGGCAGATACGGTTAGGGGTGATCAGGCAGGCAGGGGTCCTGGATTGGAGAGGGTGCAGGTCGGGCTGAGAGGACCACCCCCCCCCCCGCCCCCCACCCCGGCCATGCATGAATTTCATGCACCAGACCTCTGGTTTTATATAAGGGACTTGAACATTTTCAGATTTGGGGAACCGCGAGGGTTCTGGAACCAGTCCCCACCCCCTCCCCCGTGGATACTGAGGGACTATAGTCAGGTTTGGGGGGAGTCAAAAGTTATAAGTGGATTTTCTACTATGTGTAAGATGGCTCCTAACTCCACATTGTTTAAGGGTAAATTGTATATCCAAGAATAGTGGCCCAGAGTCTACCTGGTGGGTGTTGGATCATAGGAATTAAAATTTGTGTGTTTTGTATTAACTCTAAAGTATACATGATACAGTGTCTGCTATATAGTAGATACTCTGTAAATGTTCAACTGAAATGAATGAGAACAATAATACTAACATAATACCTTTACGAAAGACTTCATACTTATCAAAACTTGTCCAGGAGTTCTGGAGTTTATGAAATGGTTCCTTTCCAACTTCAAGATTTCTTTAGAGCAAAATTCTCTGTATTCTTAGTATTTCTAAACAGGAGAGTATCTTGGGGCATCTCTTTTCTTTTTTAAATTTTATTGACTAGAGAAAGATAAAAGAAGGGGGAGA